TTATTTAATAATACATACAAATTATAGTACCAAATGCAGTTTGTTTATTTTTATTTTCTCATTTATTTATTTTAGTGACAAATAACATGCCATAAAAATAATTTATCAATTCAATTATTATAACAAATTGGATCAGATTGTTATCTGATCAGATGATTATCGATGATGAGAATGTGATGGCTGTGAAAAGATTGAAGGATTTGAAGAAAACAAATATTTTTTTTGGATAACTTGTTTTGACAATTTTACCCATCAATTAAGATGTCATTTGAGTTAAAATTATTGTTTCAACGCTGACTGATGATTTTATGGACGGAATGTGTGAAATAGACCAACGCTGTAATTATATATAAAGGTTTGGGACTTTGACCGCAAAAATTAAAGGTTTGAGTGTAATTTGCAACAAAATAAAAGGTTTAGGACCCAGCGCTGCAATTTTTTCGAGTCAAAATTACTGTTGAAACGTTGACTGATGATTTTATAGACGGAATTAAAGGCTTGGGACCGACGCTGCAAATACATATAAAGGTTTGGGACTTCGGCAGCAAAAATAAAAGGTTTGGGTGTAATCTGCAACAAAATGAAAGGTTTGGAACCACGGCCGCAATTTTCCCAAAACTTTATTGTCGCTACAAAGTTCTTGTTATATTTCTTCTGAAAATTGGATTGTTGAATGCAGCGCTCGGGTGTACAATTTCCTCAGCGCTCTCCAGATACTGCTCCAATATTCACTCCACCTGTTACTCATCCAATATCCAGACATCCTCAGCCAGGTTATGAAATGTCAAGTAGTTCTACAGCAACACTTGATGAAGCCATGGCAGCAGAAGTGGAAACTCTACGGTTAGGATGGTATTTTGGTGGCATGTTTGATAAGGTGGACCACACAGTATTGAACCATATTGAAAAATAAAAATAACTTAAAATCTTGTCTGTTGTGCTATGCAGTCCTATTCAATACTGTGTATGAAACATGCCCAAATTGTTTCTCACATAACTAGTCTTATATTTTGATTAACTATTCTTTGGACGTCCTCAGTATCTTTTACATATCTGTTCTTTCTCCTCTATACGCCACTTATGTCCTTTATTCTGCTGTAGTTTATCAAGCTTAGATGCTATGCGGGATGTTCTGGAACTCTTGGCCGATATGCTGCGAGCAGTAGATCCAAGTGATCGCTCGGTATATGTGGTTCTCACTTGTACTATGCCCTGATTTAAAATAGCAAATCATAGCAGCAGAGAATCCTGAATATTTTTCAATTCATCATTATAGGCTGTTAAAGATGAAGTGATAGTTGACCTTGTTGAACGATGCCGTGCCAACCAGAGGAAGTTAATGCAAATGTTGACAACAACGGGGTAGTTCTCCCTATATCTTTTCTTGTCATCTATCAACGTAAGATCATTGGTGCACAATGCCCCCCTACGACTCTATGAAAACAACCGCAGCCTAAAATTTCCGGAGAGTGAATAACATGGGCCCAGAATTGAAATTGATTGTATTTGAAAGTTTCGTTAAAATCCTCAGACTAATATCTTTATATTGGTTCACTTTGTGGTAGGGATGAAGAACTTCTTGGTCAGGGACTTGAATTAAATGATAGCCTGCAGAGCGTACTGGTAAAACATGATGAAATAGCTTCTGGTTTGCCGCTGCCTCCTCAAGTAACAAATGTCAATCCCCATTTGGCAGAGATACATGACGCTAGTCTCAGACCTACCGAAGTCACGGAACAAAGTTCAACACCAGATGCTAAACCTTCTGCACCAGTGGTTCCTGTGACTCAGAGTCTGATTGATGGCGAAGAAGAAGATGATGACTTTGCACTGTTGGCTAGAAGGTCTTTTTTCATTTATTAATTTAGAATCTACTTTTATGCAATCTCTTACAGCAAAGTACATTGTGCATCAATTTTTTATTATAATCACTATATGCTTGCTCATAATATTGTTGGAAATTTGTCCTAGAGGATGGTTTTTTTATGGTTATTGTGGTTTAGTAAATTGTCGGTGCTATCAATTGATACAGAAGATCTCGTGATTCTCTAAACCGTTCATCTAAAAGAAGGCATAACAATATCATTTAAAAGATGACGAGATTACATATTGGTCTGGTAAATCATTAATCAGATCCAGGCTGTGTATGAAGATTTTTTTATCCTCAATCATCATTGTGGAGCGAGACTGCTTTCAATTATATATTCAATATTACTATAATCATCTTCTTTGGGTTTTTTAACGAAGTTCATGCTGTGTGGATTCAGGCATTCGAAAACTTGCAATAATGCTTCCCAGGGTTCGTCTACGAAAAATAGTGAGGGTGTCACCTCGGTGAATACAAAGCACAATGCGGGACCTCCAGAAGTGCCGTCAACTCCTGTAACAAGCAATGCATTAGTTCCAACTACTCCTGCACCAGTCCAGACCTCACAAGAGTTTGATTTTATAGACCTCCTGAGCAATGCATTAGTTCCAATCAGTGTGTCGACTGATCAAACTTTGCAGCAGAGACCCCTTATATCTTGTCCTTTTCCCCCGTCCACCGAAGGGATTCCACTTTCCTCTGAGGGTTACAGTGGGAACCCGACTCCAGCCTTGAACAGTTATATAGCTACCTGGGCTCAATCACAGCCTCAAGCTGGACTCCTGTCTCAGCCACAACTCCCACCTCAGCCTGAACCCTTGCCTCAGTATGCACAAGTGGCATCACAACCACAACCTCAGCCTCAATTCCCAAGTGGACCTCAACATCAGCTAGAACTTCGTTCTCAACCTCAACTTCAGTACTCGTCTGGCTACCCCCCTCCACCATGGGCAGCCACACCTGGTTATTTTAGCAATCCAAATCCTGTATCAAGGCCTTGCGCATATTCAACGCCAACGCCCATCGTGTCATCTATGCCTCTGCAAGAGACTAAATCTTTGCAACATGTTGACTCGTTCCCTGCCAAAGAAAGCTATGTGTCAATTAATGGAGATACGCATTTCGACTCAAGTCCTCGATCCACCTCTCCTGCTGGGCAGAAGCCCTTCATTCCATCGTATAGATTATTTGAAGATCTTAATGTGTTCGGCGGTACAGATGGAAGATTTAAAGCAACAAATAACCCACCTTCCAGCTTGTCGGGAAACAGCAGCCAAAGTATGGTTGGAGGAAGAAGTGAGAGAGGTTGATATACACTGTTCAGTATATGGCAGTCTCGAGCAATCAGGAAGTAATACTGTCAATATGATGTACGTCCGTGTCTTTCTTTTCCAAGTTTTTTTCGTCTTCTAGAAGAATATGGAGCTCACTAGAGGTAGATGTTAGATTGATTTAATTATGGTGTTGCACTGAACTTTCGTTTTAGCAATGGTATCAAATAAGCGCACCTGTTAATCAGATTCCTTTGATGCATGGAATACTTCTCATTTGTTCATCCTATGCAACAGTCAATACCGTGATTTTCTTGGATAGTGCAAGTCCATTGGATGGAAATTGCTGCTTCTTGGTAAGCATTATCAATTATCTTGAATTTTTCTGTACATGTTGAGCCCTGTTAACATTATTTCTCTTCAGAAAATTTGGAAAATTTCAATATTTTAGCATCTACCAAATTCGGACATTTGAAATGTGCAAATGACCCAAAAAAGCATCAATTTTTCAAGTCTTGATATGGTTGTAAAAACGAGCATTTTTCTTAGAATGGACCAGACCTAATGATCTAATCTCATTTTATCTTTTAAGTAGATCTAGCAAGTGCCAACCAATGGGGGCAGGGGTGACACAGGATGCGAAATGTTGTTTTTGCTGGTTAACAAAAATCAGATTACATAATAGGAGTTGACCTGTACAATTTAAACAATGGATTTTTTAAGAGCCGACAGAGGGATAAAAAAAAAAGGAAGAGAGAAACAAGTAGTACACTAAACCAAAAGCAGAAAGACGAAAAAAAATGATATTTACAGCTTTCTTCACCTATAAAACAGTTTATTTGTCAAAGCCCCCAAGGAATTTGTCGATACTTCTTTTTGTTAACTGACGAGTAGGAGGCATAATAAATATATTATACATCTTCAACAAGAAACTTCAAATGTACCCTTCAAATGCAAATTTAATTTTCACTGCTTATCTATCTGGGTGGAGAGATCTCATCCGCATAGATTGAAACGCAGGCATCGGCAGCACCAGCAGCGAGTAGTACTTGATAGGGATGGAACGTAAGACAGCTAACCGATCCTGTCTTTTGGGCCATGAAAGTAGGGTAATACCGAATGGTACCTAATTGCTCGCCCTCTAAATTGAACACTTTGATAAGTTGCTTGGCCGAGCCACTTGCTATGAGGGGCGAATGCCTATGAACAGCTAAAGCTGTAAGAGATCCTCTATGAGCATCGATTGTAAGGTATGCATCTTTGCCACGTCTTAAATCAAGAAACTGGATATCACCAGCCGGTGATGCGCTGACGATCTAAAAAGTAATAGAAATAGAAGATCCAAGGTGCATTAAAAATAATTCTTATACCAAACTTGATTTCACTAGACATAGATGGCACGCTTGGTAAGGTAGATAGGACAATATTAAAGAAAAAAAATAACTACCAATCAGGTCTAGTATTATGTACCAAACATGTCATCAATCTTCACCAAAAGGTAATAGGACAGGAGCATAGCAGCCACGCCAAACAGCGCGTTGCTCTATGAACCTGACGCAAGGGAAGGGGAGAGAATAACTCACCTTTGCTGGCTCAAGACCAGGTTGGAAGCCAATCCCTACAACTCTTTCTACTCGTTGATTGTGCAGTCGGGTAGCACTGACAAGCCTAAGTTTCACATATAAAAATATAGAGAATTACATAAAGTTTCAAATAAAACATTTCCATGCTTGAAAATATTATCCAGAAGAGTGTATGAAAAAAGAGTGCAGGGCATACAGGGATAATCCAGGAGACAACATTCTCAATTATTGAGACAACTAGCATAGATAGAACCACCAAATTTTAGGACTAAAAAATTTCAGCAAGGCTGTAGATGCTAGATGTTAAAATTTTGCTAGATCATTAATCTGAAAGATTTGTGCCGTAAGCCAAGAAAAGGCTTATTGGCAAAATACTGAGGTATCAATGTGTTGTTCAGGGGCACCAACGTGTAATCATACTATCAAATAGAATAAATTCTTACATTTCAGGTGTGCGGATGTCAAATAACCTGACATATCCATCCACATAACCAGCAGCGAATTGACCTCCATGAACTTGAGAAACAGACTGTAGGATATGCAATGAATTAGTTAGTCAGGAACATTGAGGATATTCCATAAGAGGGGAACAGTGTACACAAAGGATAAAGCTTAGTCTGAGAAATTTAAAAATAACAACCGAAGAGAAACTAGAAGGCTGACGTCAATTTCTACAGCACAATTTTGTATAAAGATAAACTAGGCATTAAGATCTAATTTGATTTATCAGCTACGAAGGAAATTAGGTACACTTCATTTTGTCACAAGATATAAGAACTGAACATGTCAACTTCATTTATCAAGTCCTCAAGAAAAAAACTTCAATGTCATAAAGCATAAAGGTAGCATAGGGCACGGATTGAAAGTCTTTGACAATGCTCTCAAAGCTCACAAAAAAAGACTCAACCACACAGAAAACAATTGAACATGATCTACTAATAACATAATGGGAGTAAGATAAACCCAACAATGTGGGGAAACTACATAGGACAACTAACTGAATACGTGCTAACAACATTTAATTTGCGGGTAAAGTGAAAGTTGAAACCCACCAATGCAGAGATACTGCAATCTGAGGTCGATGGTATGGTATTTACAAGTTGCTCTTTATCCAGATCCCAAGCCATAATAGAAGAAATCTCTCCCGAAGCAAACTAGTTTTGCAACATCATAATAATGTATTAGGAAAATATATAGAGTAAATTAATATACTAATCCATGCGTGTCAACATGTACATTGAACACATTTACGATTATTCCAGAACAGAGCAGGAACATACAAGATATCCAGACAGCTGCTGCCAATCTACAACAGCATTGACACTGCGTACCCCAGGTCTGTGACCCTGAATTGAAGGGAATGCAGTAACTAACTTCTGCTGTCCTTTAGAAGCATAGTCTTTCCAGATTCGGATATTTCCATCATCTATATAGGATAAGCAGAATAAAATACAGATTCAAGGGCTGTTTGACAAAGGTTTTGATAAAAAAATTTAGCAGATCATGATAAAACTCGATAAAATGTGGGGTTAAAAAGCTTATATAAGTTGTGGATCCAATGCAATATATGGTTAAAATTAATAGTTTACTTTCACTTCAACTTTTTAGAAACTTTTTAAGCCATCTCAAACAAGCATGCAGTCAAAATCAACCACCTGGTTTACATCCATGCATATGCCTTCCAAGTTGAAAAATAAAACAGGAGGCTTACTCGAAGCAATAAGAAGCAGGCTTTCATCAAGCTCATTTACAAGACACAATTTTGAAACTCCTTTGTCAGAGTAATCATGGTTATCAAAGGTGTTCAGCAGAGTAGCTTCCTCGTAATTCCATACCCTGACAGGAACGACACCAAGAAATTATTACATCATATAAAGAAAGGACACAACAAAACTAATGAAGAGAATTAACAGGTAAGAAAAACTATATAACTTGTATGAGAATTATGAAATATAGATGACATAATAAAAATAAGATTCACTATATACAGATACTCGGTTTCATTTAAGATCACATGATGTTTACAAAATGAACAACTGAGATTGTAAATCAATCCATGTACAACATAACCGTGAGCTTCACAATTGCTTGTTATTTGGGGAAAACACTCATAGGAATTATTAACTGCTAAGTAGTTCTCGCTTTTGTATTTTCTGCTTTCCTCCCCAAATCATTCAACCTCAACCCAAACCCAAATTTGAAATTAAATGCCAATTGGTAAAGCAAAGACCTTACATTAAACCCTAATTAATAATTACATAGAGCTCTACTCCAATGAAATGTAGACAATGAAACCGGAAGAAAGTATTAGTAATACAAGTTCACGAAGAACATGATACACTGAAATTGCCCACCTAATCCGTTCGTTCTCATCTGACGCAATCACAACAGGTGAAAATGGCTGCAGCAATGCAGTCTTGGTGCCAGTCTCAAATTTTGTATCCCAACTGGCAATTTGATTATGAAGTTTGCCAACGGCTGAAAAAGAGACGCACACATCAAATAACGTATTACATCACAACTATAAACTTCGTAAGCATGAGAAATAGAGCCTCTTTTTTTGTGTGTACATGGGGTGCTTTGTGTGTGTGTGT